CCGGGGCAGGTCCCGGCCAGGTCCCAGCAGGTTCTCAAGAGCGCTCCAGGAACGCTTCAAGTGGCCTCCAAGAGAGCTCAACATGGTCCGATACGGTCCAAGAGCGATCCAAGACGCCAAAGATTGCCTCCAGACAGCCCAAAGCGCCTTCGAGACGCCCCAAGAGGCCTCCAAGAGACCACCAAAGAGGGCCCCAAGAGGCAGAGACGTTCCTTCAGTTTCTCACTGTTTTTGGCGTTCTCGCCTTTTCGACATACCGGCGCTCCAAGACGGCCCAAGAGGCTCTCAAGACCGCCCCAAGACAGCCCACGAAGCCTCCAAGAGAGCCCCAAGACGGCCCAAGATGGCCCCAAGACAGCCCAAGAGGCGCCCAAGACGGCCCAAGAGAGCCCCAAAACGGCCCCAAGAGGGACCCAAAAAGGGGACCAGGAACCGAGAAGTCCAGCCTTCAGCCCCAAGAGGCGCCCCAGGAGGCCCCAAGAGGCCCCCAAGAGGCCCCAAGGGGCCCCCAAAAGGCACCCCAAGAAGCCCCAAGAGACCCCCAAGATACCCCTACACGGCCCCAACACGGCCCCCAAAAGGCCTCAAAACCGCCTCCCAAAAGCCCCTGAGAGGCTTGCCACGAGAGCCCAACCAACATCCGTGAGGCCTCTGACCCGCCACCCACCGCCTCCGAAAAATGGCAGCCGCCCAACCGCACCGCATTGAAAACAACACCCCGACAAACGACAGCGGCGAGGCAATATGGGCTGGCGGAATGAGCGAAGCGACTAAATAAATAGATAACCTTAGATGTCGTTCGGAATTCAAAAATCGAACGCCCAGAGAACAAAACAAAGACAATAGTTTCGCAACGGAAACTCTCGAGGCATCGCGGCTGCATCGCGAGGGAGGTGAGGAAGGACCTGGCCAAGCAGTGCAGCGGCATCCTCAAGCAAGCGGGAATCCAGAGCTTGGCGCGGATCAGGAAGAGGCTGCAGCCTGGCAGCTCGGCGTGGGCGCAGGCCTGCAACGCGGCCAAGACGAGGGCGATCAAGAAGCCGGCCACGGCTGGTGCTACGGCGAGCGGAGCTTCAAGGGCGTCGAGAGCTACGCTTAAGTCGGGCGTGTCCCCCTACAGGCCGATTTTGGACGAAAAGTCAAAAAATACCCCAAAAATACCCAACAAATTGCTCAAAAACGGTCAAACGATAGTCCCCAGACTATTGTTTGACCATTTTTGAACATCCCCCCTGTGAAGGGACAGGCCCGCTCTCGCGCCGCCTCCCAGGGGAGAAGAGGAGGCCTAGGAGGAATCGGAGCCGAACCGCGAAGCGCGAATAACTCCGCGCCCTCGAGGGCGCCCCTGGTGCTGCGGCGAGCGGAGCATCAGGGGCGTCGAGAGCTACGCCATCGAGCTGAGGTTCCTCGTGGACCCGACTGCCGCCGTGTGGCGGCGGCGGAAGTGCTGGGGCCGAGCCTCGGCCTCGGGGCGCGCAGCGCCCCGCCTGCAGAATCGGCATCAGCAGCAGCAGCACCACCACCATCATCATCATCATCATCATCATCATCATCATCATCATCAGCATCAGCATCAGCATCAGCATCAGCATCAGCATCATCATCATCATCATCATCATCATCAGCATCAGCATCAGCATCAGCATCATCATCATCATCATCATCATCATCATCATCATCAGCATCAGCATCAGCATCAGCATCAGCATCATCATCATCATAAGCACCATCATCGTCATCGCCGGTACAGCCACCACCACAGCCACCACCACCACCACCACCATCATCGGCAGCAGCAGCTGCAGCATCGTCATCATCATCATCAGCATCGGCATCATCATCACCACCATCACCACCACCATCACCATCACCATCGTCATCCTCATCCTCATCCTCATCCTCATCATCCCCCTCATCCTCATTCTCATCCTCATCCTCATCCTCATCCTCATCCTCATCATCAGCAGCAGCAGCATCCTTCGTCATCAACATCGCCACCACGGCCCTCCCAGGCCCCACCTGGTGGTTTTCTCGTCGGTGGTCCGAATTTCACCGTCGTTCGTTGTAGGTGGTGTGTTGTTCGGCGGTTATTATTCGTGTTCGGTGGTGTTAGGTTGTAAGTGGTAGTACGTGGTAGTAGGTCGATCGTGTTCGTCCTAGCAGTAGTGGTACAAATTGTACTTCGCGTTTGCGAGGCGCGTTGGTTCGTTACTAGATTGTTGCGGTTGGAAGTCGGACAAGGTAGTGGGTGGTAATGTGTCGTACATGCACAGTGGCCCTCGGTAAAGAGGACTCCGTACCTGTAGCTCGTGGGGATATACTCTTCTGGCATGGTGGCCATTACGGGAAAGTGCTGTGCTATTCGATATTGTTCTCTGCATGGCTCCTGCAATTCATACAGCAAAGGAAGATTGTAGTAGTATTAGTAGCATTAGCAGCAGCAGCACCAGCAGCAGCAGCAGCAGCAGCAGCAGCAGCAGCAACAGCAGCAGCAGCAGCAGCAGCAGCAGCAGGAGTAGTAGTAGTAGTAGTAGTAGTAGTAGTAGTAGTGATAGGTAGGAATCGTAGTAGTAGTAGTAGTAGTAGAAATGGAAGTAGTAGGTAGTAGGTAGTGGGCAGTAGGTATTAGGTATAAGTAGCGGTAGTAGTAGTAATAATAATAGTAGTCGTCGTAGTCGTAGTAGTAGTTGTAGTAGTAGTAGTAGTAGTAGTAGAGGTAGTAAGCGTGGTAGTACGAATAGAAGTAGTAGTAGTAGTAGTAGTAGTAGTAGTAGTAGTAGTAAGAGTAGTAGTAACAACAGAAGTAGTAGTAGTAGCAGTAGCAGTAGTAGAGACTGGTGTTACAGAAGTAATAGTAGTAGTAGAGGTAGTGGTAGTAGTAGTAGTAGTAGCAGGAGTAGTAGTAGCCGTCGTAGTAGTAGTAGTAGTATTATCAGTCGTAGTAGTAGTAGTAGTAGTAGGTAGTAGTAGTAGTCGTCGTCGTCGTCGTCGTCGTCGTCGTCGTCGTCGTCGTCGTCGTCGTCGTCGTCGTAGTAGTAGTAGTAGTAGAAGTAGTAGTCGTCGTCGTCGTCGTCGTCGTCGTCGTCGTCGTCGTCGTCGTCGTCGTCGTCGTCGTCGTCGTCGTCGTCGTCGTCGTCGTCGTCGTCGTCGTAGTCGTAGTAGTAGTAGTAGTAGTAGTAGTAGTAGTAGTCGTAGTCGTAGTAGTACTAGTAGCCGTAGTAGTACTAGTAGTAGTAGTAGTAGCAGCAGCAGCAGTAGTAGTAGTAGTAGTAGTAGTAGTATAGTCGGTAGTAGTCGGTAGTAGTAGTAGTAGAAGTAGTAGTAGTAGTAGTAATAGTGGGCAGAAGTAGTAATATGTAGTAGTAAATAATGGCAGTAGTAGAAGTAGTCGTGGTAGTAGTAGTAGTAGTAGTAGTAGAGGTAGTAGTAGTAATGGCAGTAGTAGTAATAGCAGTAGTAGTAGTAATCGTAGTAGTAGTAGTAGCAGTAGTAGTAGTAGTCGTAATAGTAGTAATAGAAGTAGTACTAGTGAGAGCACTAGCAGTAGCAGTAGTAGTAAACTCAATGGTAGTAGTGGTAGAAGTAGTGGTAGAAGTAGCCGTGGTAGCAGGAGTCGTAGTAAGTTTGATTAGTAGTTGTAGTAGTAGTAGTAGTAGTAGTAGTCGCAGAGGTACTAGTGTTAGTAGTAGCAGGAGTAGTAGTAGCAGTAGTGCTAGTAGTAGTACTAATGTTGGGAGTAGTAGTAGTAGTAGTAGTATTAGTAGTAGTAGTAGTAGTAGTAGTCGTCGTCGTCGTCGTCGTCGTGGTAGTCGTCGTGGTAGTAGTAATCGTAGTAGTAGTAGTAGTAGTAGTAGTAGTAGTAGTAGTAATGATGATAGTCGTTGTCGTAGTAGTACGAGTAGTACTGATAGCTATAACAGTAGTAGCAGTTGTTCTTGTACGTAGTAGTAGTAGTAGTAATTCGTATTACGTAGAAGTAATAGTAGTGGGCAGTAGTAGTACGATGCAGTAGTAGTAGTAGGTAGCGGGCAGTATGTAGTAGTACTAGGTGGAGAAGGAGGAGAAGGGGAAGGAGGAGGAGGAGGACAGGGAGAAGAGGGAAGAGGGAGGACGAACACATCTGTCACACATACACGTACATAGATGCGCACGCGTACATACGTATGTACATACGTACGTTACACATACGTACACATACGTACACATACGTACACCTGTACACGTACGCGTATACGGACACACAACACACGCATACCATACATGATGCACCAGGTGCAAGTGCACCCACAGTGATATATTGAACAGATATATATATATATAGACATGTAGCCGACCTCCTACTCCTCGACTCTCCTCTTCACCTTTGCTGCTATTACAGTGCTCTTTCTGTAACGAAGGGTGGTCTCGGGCAGCTTGGACGCAGCCTGCTGCTGGCGTCTTTCTTTCCTCCTCCTCTCTTTGGCAACCGAATGCAAGCCTACCCCACAGCTCAGATCTCTGAAACGCGGGCTGGGGTGCACAGCTCGAGGGAGGTCGGCAGCCAAAGGAACCCCAGCAGGGGCGTCCGATACCTCAGCGTCGATTGGACCCGCAAGGGTCGGGTTCGCAGGAGATTGTTTCTTCTCATGTCCGGTAACAGTCGTTAACCGGGGGGGGGGGCCCGGAAACATTGACGCTTAGGCAAAGTGGGGCACGTCGGGGCGGGGGGGGCGCTGCGATCGCCATAGTTTGCGCGCAGGCAACAGCATGTGGGGAGCGTCCAGGCCTCCCCCCCTAAGTACGATGGGTTACCGGTAGCGGGGGGGGAACTGGTTACGACCGTCACGCGCCAGCGGAAAAGCAACAATCTACACTCGGTCGCAGAGTCTCCTCTCCACGTCGCGGAGAGGAGAATCTGCGACCCGACCGAGCGTGTTGGGGAACCGTGGAGTCCACGATCCCCAACACACTGCCAGCTCACTCGCGCCCCCCCTCGCTGCCGGCCGCGCCGCCGGGGGGAGGCTGGGGGGCCTGCCGTGCCGACGCCCCAGGCACAGCGCGCAGCGCGGCGCAGGCTCCTGCGGCGCCGGCGGTGCAGAAGAGCTGCCCAGCGGCCTTCGGGGAACCATAAGAGAAGCAACGCGAGTCCTGGGTCGCCTATCCTGCGGGGCGGGGATTTATCCATATCCACCGCCTAGGAACCAACGACACGGTGCCCCAGCGGCCGGCGGATATGGATATATCCTAGGCCCCGGAGGCCCGAATATTCATTTCCCAAGGTTCTCCGAGAGGTCACAAGTCCATCAGTGCAGTTCCCGGTGATAAATCACCGTCTCAATCGGCCAACTGCTTTGCCAGAAGCTGTAATGGCAAGAGCGGCGGAGAGGGGGCGAGATCGGCCCGCTCGTTGGGCCTCCAGCCTCGCTGCAGCATCGAAGGCGTCCAATTCCTCCACGACTTCGTGGGATAATTTCGGACATTCGAAAAGCTTCGAAATGCATTTCGTGCGCCTCGGATCCGATAGGTGTGCAATCGCCCGGAGTCTTGAACTGAATACGGTCTTGCAGACCGGGCACATGCCGGACGAGTCGATATAAAATCGAGCATCGCATCTGAAACCATGCTTCGCTCGTCTGTGAGACAGCAGAGCCTTCTGCGAGTGAAAAGCAGGCGGGTCGACGACACCATCATTGGCACAGTCGGGGAAAGCAAATGCGCGGGGAGGAGGGGGAGTAGGAGGGGGAATAGGGGGAGCGCCCTGGTGCGCTCCGTCACCACACTCCGTATTGGCTCCTCCTGCAGCTTGGCCACTGTGCACATGACAATGACCTGCGGAATACGGACCGTTGGCGACCGATTCCGAATAGAAGAGCTGCTGCACGAGCGGGCTCCACGAGGCTCCGCAACCTCGGATGAATTTCCCCCACGTTTCTGGGGCCTCCGCAGGTGGAGGGAGAAAGAACTGAGACCTGGCAAGTACCCGGTCTTGCAGCACTGCCATGTCAGAGAGGATCAATTTGGTCCACGGCATGGGCTCGCCCTTCGGGCGAGCGTGCAGCAGCGCCAACAATTCCTGCGGGCCCGACGCGAGAACACGATACAAATATAGCAAACGGGCTCGCTGCAACTGGCAACCCACAGGCTGTATAAAAAAAAATGTAATGTATCTTCCGTCTGTGGAGGCCCGAATATAAACATATCCACCGCCTGTGGAGGACCGCGAAGATCGATCCCCCAGGCGGTGGTTATGGATAAATCCCCACCTCGGATATCCGACCGCATCCGATTGCCGACGGCAATCGTGAACGCATTAAATCGAAAGCGCGCCAGCGCGAGCCCCAAGCAGTGTGTCTTCGCTCTCTGGTGGTGGAAGCTGTTGTGGAATCTATGTTGTGGAGGCGATGCGGTGAAACTTGTGTGGTGGAAGCTACGCAATGCAGTACAAGTTTTGTGGTAGAACGTATGTGGTGAAAGTAATTCGGAATGAGTTGTCCACTCCACCGCCCGCGCAAACATCCCACCAACCCACCCGCAACTTGGTTTGCAAACCTCATGCGGGAGCGATTGCGCATCTCTGCGGCCGCGACAGCCCGCGCATGCGCGCGCAGCCGCCAAGTACTTTGGCGCGACCGACGAGGCCGCGGTGGTGTTGACCGCTCGGCACATCCCAGCGGGCACTTGAATGCGAGTCGGCGGCTTGGGCGGGCGCAGTATCATGGCAACGTCGAGTAGACACGATGACGATGATACTGGCGATGTTGGTGACGACAATTGTAGACACGATGATGATGATGGTGATGATGATGATAGTGGCGATGACGGCGCCGATGTCGATCACGCGGACGACGATGACGGCGTCTTCGCGTCGGTGATGAAGGTTTTGGAAAGAATTAGAAATGCGCGCGCGGCAGACGCGCGAGAGTGGCTTGCATGGTATTAGTTGACACGGATCGTGCCAGCCCAGCACGCGCGCAAAGGCGTTCGAACGATTTCGACTTGTGCGCGCGCGGCCCGTTTGGTAACATTCTATGAGAATATTGAAAAACATATGGTTTTCTGAAATATTCGCAAGTGCGCGCGCACGCTGTTGTTGAACATCCGTGTTGCGAAACCCTGTGTTGTTACATGTTTTCTTGGACACTCGATTTTGAAATCCTTCCGAAACCGAAAGTTTCTGAAGGATTTCGGCATGCGGTCGCGACGACGCACGCGTGTGCACTTCGTCCCGCTTTTTGCAGGGGATTCTCGCGACGGCACGCGAACAAGGGCGTTCGAACGATTCCGACATGCGCGCGAGCGACGCCCGTTTGGTACTAGTTTCCTGAACATGTTGAAACAAAATACATGGTTTTTCTCAAGAATTCGCAGGAGCGCGCGCACGCTCTGTCGAAACTCCGCGTTGCGAAACCTTATGTTTTTGTATGTTGATTGACACTCAATTTTGAGATCCTTCCGAAACCGAGAGTGCTTTTAAGGATTTCGGGATGCGCGCGCGACGACGCGTGCGTGCGCATTTCGTCTCATTTTTTGCAAGGGAATATTGAACACTTATGATTTGTGATAAACGAGTGCGCGCGCATAGTATTTTTTTTTGCAAGGGAGCCGAGGGGGGATCCATACCAGCCTGGCTGGGATAGTATGAGTTCACAGGTAAGATGGACATTGGGTCATAATCAAATGTGTTTTACATCGGTTCCCGGTCAGTGGAGAAGTCCAGGGGGGAGGGTGGTAAAACCTATCATTTCATTATAGAAGAGAATCTATGTGGCGGAAACCAAATGGCAACGCTTCGCGTCCGCAGAAATGCAAGAAAGAAAGCTGGGTCCCACGAGAAGGCGCACACCCTTTCGTATTATTGACGCTTCGCGTCTGCCCACTGGATGCGGGAGGCCAGGAACGGGTGGCAACGGACCGGAACGAGGCGAATGATCGATGCACCCATCCAAGCGGCATGGGGGGGCAGCGGGCGGGCACGTGGCGTACGGGCGGCGACGCGCGGCAACGGGCGGCAGAGGGCAGGGACGTGGCGAATCCTCGTCGCACCCAACCAAGCAGCAAGGGGCGGCAACGAGTGGGAGCGTGGCGAAGCCTCGGCGCACCTACACAAGCGGCAACGGGCGGCGACGGGCGCAACGGGCAGCAGCGGACCACAAACTGGCGAATCCTCGACACCCCCACCCAAGTCCGTTGGGAAGGCAGCGGGCGGCAACGGGCGGGAGCTTGGCGAATACTCGGCGCACCCCCACTCAAGCGGTCACGGGCGGCAACGGGCGGTAACGGGCCGAAGCGTGGCGAATCCTCGACATACCCAACAAACTCCTTCGTAAGACAAATTAAGAACCCCAAGTGCAAGCGCTGTGGCTATGTGAGGAAATTTCCCGAAAGAAGGTTTGCATCTAAGGTTGCGGCCGAGCTGACTGGTGGCTGCCCCGTCGCCGCCCCGTCGCCGCCCGTCGCCCCGCCCCCTGTCTGGGCCTGTGTGCCGGTCTGGCCCGCTTGTGGTAGCCCGTCGCCGCCCGTCGCTGCAGTCCGTCTGGACTTGTGAACCAGTCCAGCCAGGTTGTGGCCGCCCGCCCGTCGCCGCCGCCCGTCGCCGCGTAAAAAAAGTAGATTTTCCTTTTGTAAAAGAATAATAAACTCGACGCAAAAAATCAACTGTTTTTTTTTCCCGCATTGCAATTTACATAGGATTCTGCCCCATCGTCCATCCTACGTACGAGTCCATACCACGACAGCCAGGCCAATATCGCCCCACCCCCGTGTCTTCCTCTGAAAAAGCACAATGATCGCATATTCGCTTATCAAATATCATCAATGTGGAAACCTCTTCTTCCAAAAAAAACGCGAACTGCGCACGCGCGCGTCGTCGCGCACGCATGTCGATCTGTTAAGCACACACCCGCATGTGTGTAGATATACACACACACACATGTATGTACGTATGTGTATATATAGACATAAATACATACATACATGCATACACATACATATGTATAAGTGTACACATCGAAGAAGTGTTGGAAAATGCGGGCGCCCTGGAAAATCCAAAATCGAGTGCCCCGATGACATCTAAAAAACACCTGATTCCGCAACAAAAAACGTTTCCGCCTGGGCGCTTGCGGATTTTCCAGAAAAGCCGACTTGCCATAATATGCTACCAAACGGGCGTCTCGCGCGCACATGTCGTCATCGCAAGAACGCCTTGCGCACGCGCTGTCGCGAAAATCCTTTGCAACAAACGGGACGAAGTGCACACGCGCGCGTCGTCGCTCGCGCATGCAGGAGTTTTTCAAAAACCCGTGGGTTCTGCAAGGATGTCACAATCGAACGCCCCGAATATATGTACACACGTCGGACACAACATGGTTCTGCAACATGAGCTTAAAACCATAAAACTGCGCTCCCGGTTCTGCAAAACCCTTCGCATTACATTCTGCCAAACGGGCTTCCCGCGCCACATGACGAAATCCTTCGGACGCCCTCGCGCGCGTTCTGGGGGGGCGCGATCCGTGTCAACCAAATCCACGCGGGCCAATGTCGCGCGTCGGCCGCGCGCGCATGTCGAATTCCTTCCAAAACCTTCATCGCTGACGCGAAGACGCCGTCATCGCCGACGGCGTGATCAGCATCGGCGCCGTCACTGGCCAGGCCGTCGTCGCTACCATCAGTGTCACCACCATCGCTAGAATCGTCATCGCGTCCACCGTTGTCGACGTTGCCATGCTACCGCGCCAGCCCAAGTCGCCGACTCGCACTGAAGTGCCCGTTGGGGTGCGCCCAGCGATCGGCACCACCGCGGCCGCGTCGGTCGCGCCAAACTAGCTGACCGCTCTGCGCGCGAGCATGCGCGCCAGCGCGGCCGCGGCGAAGCGCCAGAGAGCGCCGAGCAATCATCGCAATCGCCGCCGCATGAGTTTTGCAAACCTATTTGCGGGAGGGAGGGTGTGATGATTGCGCGAGCAGTGGACCTGACAACTTCAAACCCGGCAGGATGAATTGCGCAACGTAGGTTGCACCACATGAAGTTGAACCACGTTTCCAACACCACATAGACACTTCCAAACAGCTTACACCACATATTTTGCATCACGTGTATTCCCCTTTTCCTATAAA